TTCTGTGGGGCTCAGATGTTCACCCACCTGCCTGGTCCCATTTGGCAAAATGTCTGACATGGTAAACGTTGGATCTACCCTCTCGTTCATTCACCTGCTAAATTTTTGTTGTTTATATTTTTGAGACAGGGTCTTGCTCTGTCACCCAGGCTGGAGTGCAGTGGTGTGATCATAGCTCACTGCAGTCTTGAACTCCCAGGCTCAAGCAATCCTCCCACTTCAACCTCCTGAGTAGCTGGGACCATAATTTTTTATTTTTATTTTTAATTTTGAGATGGAGTTTTGCTCTTGTTGCCCAGGCTGGAGTACAATGGTACGATCTTGGCTCGCTGCAACCTCCGCCTCTCATGTTCAAGCCATTCTCCTGCCTCAGCCTCCTGAGTAGCTGGGATTAGAGGTGCCTGCCACCACACCCGGCTAATTTTTGTATTTTTAGTAGAGACGGGGTTTCACCATGTTCGCCAGGGTGATCTCGAACCCTTGACCTCAGGTGATCCACCTGCCTCGGCCTCCCAAAGTGCTGGGATTATAGGCATGAGCCACTGCACCCAGCCTAGTTTTTAAAATTTTTGGTAGAGATGGGGTCTTGCAATGTTACCCAGGCTGGTCTGGAACTCCTAGGCTCACGCAATCCTCCTGACTCAGCCTCCTGACTCTGGGATTACAGGTGTGAGCCATACATGCTGAATTTTCAAGGTCACTGTTTTATCTCTGATGTGGATGCCAGGCACTGATGTTTTGGCCTGGAGAGCCATCGAGCCCCCTGGCCACCAGGTAGGAGGACACTGGGGCCACTGGCAGTTTCACTGTGGCTGAGTCTCAGAGCTGGGATGATGCCAGGGTGGCCTCGGGACCCCAGAGCTGGGTTGCATCCACGTCTGCTCAGAACCTCTACAGTTCCTGCGTCACCCAGAGTCCTCTCTGAGTTTTACCTGGGGAGAATTTTGTGTTCACTTTGGCCACCACATAGTCCAGTGTCTGTATCACAGTCTGCCACATAGCAAATGCTCACATAGCGATGAATGGGTGGTCTGGGTTTATAATGTAATGCACACAAGACAAAGCATATTAAAAACCGCTGAGGTGGGAGGATCACTGGAAGCCAGGAGTTCGAGACCAGCCTGGGCGATGTAGTAAGACTCTGTCTCTACAAAAAATTTAAAAATTATCCAGGCATGGTGGTGCACACCCGGAATCCCAGCTACTTGGGTGGTTCGGGTGGGAGGATCGCTGGAGCCCAGAAGTTCCACGCTGTGGTGAGTGACGATTGTGCCACTGTACTCCAGCCTAGGTAATGGAGAGAGACCTGGAAAAGAAAGGAAAGAAAAGGAAAGGAAACGAAAGGAAACGAAAGGAAAGGAAAGGAAAAGAAAAGAAAGGGAAAAGGAAAGGATAAGAAATGAACAGAACAGAACAGAAAGAAAATGGACATTCTATAGTGAAATTGCTCAGCGGTTTTATTGAAAGCTGATGTAAACAATGACAATGAATCTCTGTGTTACTTGTACAGGAGAAAACAGAAATAGGCTACATATGTCGGACGAGGGCTAAGTTGTATGACCCCAATTAATGTCTTGCTGATGACCTCAGAGAGGAAGAGGAACTGAAATGCATTCCGTAGGCACTGCTTAGATGTGATTTCAGTGAAATCTGCATGGCAGCTCTCAGCTTGTGAGGACTAACAAGAGGCCAGAGATCAAGGCTCCAGGGAGGGTGGGGTCTGACCCTGCCCCCAACTCCCTCTCGCCACTGAGGGGGCTCTCAGGATCCTAAATGTGAAGAAACTGACATATTCATATAATGGGCTACAATTCAGCAAAATAAATGAGCTCTCAAGCCACAAAAAGACATGGAGGAATCTCCCCTCCCCCTTTTTTGGGGGGGGACAGGGTCTCACTCTGCCACCTAGGCTGGAGTCTAGTGGCCCGACGTTGACTCACTGCAGCCTCAACCTTCTGGGCTCAGGCGATTCTCCTGCCTCAGACTCCCAAGTAGGTGGGACCACAGGCACACAGCACCATACCTGGCTAATTTTTGTATATATATATATATTTTTTGTAGAGACGGGGTCTTGTTATTTGCCTAGGCTGATCTGGAACTCCTGGGCTCAAATGATCCTCCTGCCTCGGCCTCCCAATGCACTGGGATTACGTAAGCCACTGCGCCGGACCGACATGGAGGAACCTTAAATGCACGTTGTGAAGTGGAAGCAGCCAGTCTGAAAAGCCTGTACACTGGGACTCCAACTACAGACAGCCGGGAAGAACCAGAACTATGGAGGCAGTCAGAAGAGCCGTGGCTGCCAAAGATTACGGAGGGATGAACAAGGGGAGCATGGAGGAATTTTAGGGCAGTGACACTACTCTGTGACACTCCAACGGCGGATACATTCATTATACTTTTGTCCAAACTCAAAGAACTTGCAACACCAATAACCCTAATGGAAAGTATGGCTGTTAGTAACAGTGTCAATGTGGATTTGAATCAGTTGCAACCGACACATCATGCTAATGCAAAATATAAATAAAGTGAGAACATGAGGGTGGGAGGGGTACATGGGAACTCTCTGCACTATCTGCTCGGTATTTCTATAAACCTCAAACTGCTGTAAAACAACTAAAGTCTGTTTTTTGGTTTTTTTTTTAGAAAGCGGGGCTGGGTGCGGTGGCTCACGCCTATAATCCCAGCATGTTGGGAGGCCAAGGTGGGAGGATCATTGGCGTCCAGGAGTTAGAGACCAGCCTGGGCAATACAGTGAGACCTCCATCTCCACAAAAAATAAAAAATAAAAATGAAAAAAAAGCAGACCCCACACCCAGAGGTGCAGACCCCTGAGGTCACACGCTGCCCCTGGCCCTCACCAGGTGACGATGGTTGTGTCACCATGAGACATGTGGATGCACCTCGTCCTAAAACCCTTGGAATGATGGGTGCTGTGTGGTCACTTCTGCAGCCCTGTGGCCACAAGACTCACCCACAGCGGCACACAGAGGGCTCCCGTGGGGTTTGGCTGATCAGGGCACTGAACAGCGGACAGAGGGCATGAGGCATGAGAGCCTGGGTTGGTCCCTTCTCTGCTGCCTCTACAGTGGAACCAGGTGGCCCCCTCCCCTTGCCCACTCTGTGACAATGCCTTCCCATCCCCTTAACCCCCAGGCCTGCCGTACGCCTTGCTGGCTTCCTTCCACCCTGCCGGTGCCCCTAGAAATGCCCCATTATGAAGCACTCCTCAAACTGGTTTGAATGCGCCAGCCTTTTCTTTCAGGCACCTTGAGAAGGAATGGCCATGATCTGGAAGCCAAATGTGTATTAACTGTGACCCTTTTTGTTTTTTTTTTTGAGACAGAGTTTCACTCTGTCACCCAGGCTGGAGTGCAGTGAAGCAATCTTGGCTAACTGCAACCTCCACCTACCGGGTTCAAGTGATTCTCCTGCCTCAGCCTCCCGAGTAGCTGGGATTACAGGCACGCACCACTATGCCTGGCTAATTTTTATATTTTTAGTAGAAACAAGGTTTCATCATGTTGGCCAGGCTGGTCTCAAAGTCCTGACCTCAGGTGATCCACCTACCTCGGCCTCCCAAAGTGCTGGGATTACAGGCATGAGCCACCACACCCAGTGACTTTTTATTTTCTGTATTTTTGATGCTCTGACATCTGGGGCCT